CGAAGGGCCGAAGTTTACCCATGCCTGGTCTATACATTGCACCAGTTTCATCTTTCTGCTTTCCGTGCTTTGAACCCAAACTCAGATGGCACCAACCTCTTGTCCTGGCAATTCGAGGAAGCAGGGATTGGGTAGGGTCCATTCAAGTTTTGTATTGGGGTCCTTGGATTTATTTTTGGGAGAGGGAATGAGACATCAGTCTCTACCTGAGCTTTCTGTAGATTCTCCACCACTTTCTGCAGAAGCGGGGCATAGTCGCCGAGCGTCATGGAGAACTCGCAGTCGCCAAACGGGAAGCATTTCATCTTGGCGGCCAAATCGGCATCGAGCTGGGAATCTGGATGGAAGAGATACAGCTGTCAATCCAAGATGGGGAACCAAAGCAATTCAACACCTTGATCCATGACTATCAATCAAGGGCACACTTATTGTCGCCAAACGGCTCTCACCATCCGAACACACCGAAGCCAGGCGGACTTCGTAGCTCACTTTCCCGTCGACTTCTTTCTTAAAGAGCCTCGTGTTGTAAGCACTGATGTTCTGCGGAAAAATGTGGAAGACAGAATTATAGGAAGCTGCTTGGTTTATTTATCAACTTGTCTCCGAGTTACAAAAAAAAAATCCTGTTCCTGGTTTGAAAGTGTTATTCTTGTTTAATTGTGCTTGTTTAATTGTGTTGTTTGTTGCACTATGGCCTGGATTCACATTTGCACCGTACACAAGAGTCCAGTATTACTAACTAGTTTATTGAAGAAAACAAATATAAAAAGGCAAAAAGTAATACAAAAAGCAATGTCCCAAAAAGCAATAGGAAAAGGACTAATAAAAGGCAATAGTCCACACATCAGAGTTTTGTTCCAAAGTAACAAGGTACATGGAAAATCAAGAACCAAAACATTAGCATAAATCTATAACCAGGAACACAGGAACTTCTTTCAAAACATGAATCCATGAACATGATCACAAAGCTTTCCCAAGGAACTTAAACATAGACTTGAACGTGGAACAAGGTGTACACCGGAATTCAGCGTTGCCTAATCTGACTCTTTTAGTAAACAATACTTTAACTTAAGGACCACAAAGCCAAAGGCCACCCTACTGGGATCTGCATGCATTATTCGTCGATACATTACACAATCCTAGACACTTAGGAAGTGTCCAATGTGTGATCCAATACAACAGCCAGCAGAGTGATCTTGTTTGCTGTGGACTCATCTTGTTGTGTTTCAAATAATAATAATAATAATAATAATAATAATAATAATAATAATAATAATAATAATAATAAATAATAATAATAATAATAATAATAATAATAATAAATTATTATTATTATTATTTGAAGCACAACAAGATGAGCCCACAGGAGACACTCTGCTGGCTGAATAATAATAATAATAATAATAATAATAATAATAATTATTATTATATAATAATAGACACTTGGGAAGTGTCCGACGTGTGATCCAATACAACAGCCAGCAGAGTGTCTGCTGTGGACTCATCTTGTTGTGTTTCAAATAATAATAATAATAATAATAATAATAATAATAATAATAATAATAATAATAATAATAATATTATTATTATTATTATTATTATTATTATTATTTATTGAAACACAACAAGGTGAGCCCACAGGAGACACTCTGCTGGCTGAATAATAATAATAATAATAATACCAATAACAATAATAACTATTAATATTATTATTATTATTATTATTTGAAGCACAACAAGATGAGCCCACAGGAGACACTCTGCTGGCTGAATAATAATAATAATAATAATAATAATAATAATTATTATTATTATTATTATTATTATTATTATTATTTGAAGCACAACAAGATGAGCCCACAGGAGACACTCTGCTGGCTGAATAATAATAATAATAATAATACCAATAACAATAATAATAATAATAATAATAATAATAATTATTATTATTATTATTTGAAGCACAACAAGATGAGCCCACAGGAGACACTCTGCTGGCTGAATAATAATAATAATAATAATATATTATTATTATTATTATTATTATTATTATTATTATTATTATTAGACACTTGGGAAGTGTCCGACGTGTGATCCAATACAACAGCCAGCAGAGTGTCTGCTGTGGACTCATCTTGTTCGGTTTCAAATAATAATAATAATAATCTATATAAATAAAAATGTAATGTTCGTTTGTGGGATTAACAGAACTCAAAAACCACCGGACGAATGGAAACCAAATTTGGACACAATACACCTATCAGGCCAACGAGTGACCATCAATCATAAAAACACTGAAAAACACAGTAGAAGAGACTTTAAAAGCCAAAAAATAAAAATTACATTACAATGCATGCACAAAACCACATGCAAACACAAAACACACATATATACACACATACACAAATATATACACACATATCTATATCTATAATAAAAGTCAGTGTTTGTATGTATGCATGTATGCGGCGGGAGGTGTATGTGGCAGCTTTCTGATTGGCTGCCACTTTCACAGGCCACTGTGACCAACACGGGTGACGGAACCAAACTTGGCACACATAACCCCCATGACCCCCTTTATGTCCTGGTGAGGATTGGGGGAGGTGGACCATGGATTATGGGATTTGTAGTACTTTCAAACGGTTTGGTTTCCACGGATCACTGTGGCCCCCAACAAACACCAATAAAGAACAAACTTGGCACACAGAGCCCCCATGACCCACTCTACATCCTGGTCAGGTTCGGGGGAGAACAGACTATGGATGATGGGACTTGCAGTACCTTAACTCACTTTCTGAGACCACTGTGACCCTCATCCAATGACTGATCAAGACCAAACTTGGCACACAGGGCCCCCATGACCCACTCTACATCCAGGTGCTGTTTGGAGGAGGATGGACTATGCACAATGGGATTCGCAGTACCTTCACTAATTGATAACTGATAAAGAACACCTTTGCCACACAATGCCTTTCTCAAATAACCCAGGCAGCGCCGGGTCCTCAAGCTAGTAAACATATATATACACACAAAACAAATATACACAGACTGGGTCACAGCAACGCGTGGCAGGGGACGGCTAGTAGTAATAGTAGTAGTAATAATAATAATAATAATAATAATAATAATAATAATACAATACTTTTGCCCCTATGAGGTTTTCCAACCACATTTTCTTTGGAACTTCCCACTTTTCCCAGCATAACCCTCTTCTTTCTGCTTGATACAACCCTCAACCCAGAATGACAGATGGCTTCTTGTCATACCTGAGAGTCCAAAAAGTCCTGGGCTCGCTTGGCATCTTCCATACTGCAATTTGAAGAGAAATAAGTAGAAATGCCCTACAGATGAGAAAAGAGACAGAAATGCCACACATCAGTGTTGATGGCCCTGTTCTACACAAGGTCTCCATTGGGATCCCGTAATCATATCTGTATTTCTCCTTTTCCCATTATGGAAAGTCGCCTGATGGGCATTAGTATTAGTTTTGAGCTTTCTCCCCATTCCGGCCATATGGCCCCCTTATCCACGGATACGATATCCATGATTTCACTCAACCACACTCCAGATAACATTGAAGTGTTTGTGGGCCTCTCTAGATCCTCCAGTGTGAGTCTATGGGATGCTCAAGTATGGTTGAACATCTCTTATATGCTGGCCACATGACCTTGGAGGTGTCTATGGACAACGCCGGCTCTTTGCCATTATCCATGCTTTCAGATAGCCACTGGTCTTGGAGGGGGACATGAGAGAAGCCTCCTCGCAGGATTGCAAGACATCCGGGCGGCCCTGTTGTGCCACCTCTACAAAGTTCTGGAGAGACTTATTTTGCATAGAATAATGGAAAAAATAGACCCATGTCTGATTCCACAGCAAGCTGGCTTCAGGAAAGGCAAAAGCTGCACATCGCAAGTGCCGAACCTGACTCAGCACATAGAAGATGGCTTTGAAAGGCAGCAGATCACAGGAGCTGTCTTCATAGACCTGTCAGCAGCTTATGATACTGTGAACCACCGCCTTCTCCTGAGAAAAATGTATAATATCACAAAGGACTACCACCTCACCCGCCTCATAGGAAACCTGCTACAAAACAGGAGCTTTTTTGTTGAGTTCCA